CAATTCAATTCAATTCAATTCAAAACTAAAAATTAGCTCTTCTGATTTGGCTGCCACAGACAGGTTTCTATGCCAGTCTGCCTGGTTAGGTGCGCCGGCCTCAGGTTCCCCCTTCTGCCAACTGCTGCAGCACCTTCACGCTATTCCCAATTTAATTTGACTCCCTCCTTTCTGGAGGGCTGATTATCCCCAAGCGTTTGAGACCCTCCTAAAGGGCCTTTTTGGGGAGCCGCATCTTCCTCGCACATCACTCAGTCCTTTGACCTTCTTAGAGGAGATGCCTTGAATGCTTCCAGCCAGCAGCATCGCCCAGTTTCTCAAGGTCTGCCCAGTCTGTTTCAAGGGAAAGGGACTTCCCGCTCTGGAAGGGCTAATTTTCATTTCTATTACTGTAGCAACCTTAACAAAAGAAGTATTGGGGTTTGCAAGAACATTCTTCAGCCCATGGCAAAGCTGGGATAGGATCCTGATTCCCAAACTGATGTTTGAGGGGCAAGATGGGTGCTTTGATGGCCATGAATTGTCTTCCAGGGGTGGAGGGCATTGGAGATTTGTTTCTTTGTCCCTTTATTTCTTGATTTTATACTAAAATCCTCAGTGCAGCTGACAAGGTATGCCAAGGGCCACTGCGGCTCAGTAGGACGATCCTGTTCTTGTTGGTGCAGAAGTGAACCTGTTTGAATTCATGGGGGTTTCAGTCCCAGTGAATAACAACAAAGCAGCCATCATCAAGCCAAGATTTGAAGCTAAAAGTACCTGAAGTGGGAATCTGAGCATTCCTTGGCAGAATCAGCCCTGGGCTTTACTGTACCTGTGAGGGGTGCAAAGGCAGCTGGGGGTTCACATCTCAGGCTGGCTGACTGCATCTGGGCTGGGAACCTAGGCCAGGTTAGACATGGCCGGTCCTTGGATGGGAGGCCACTAGGAAATGCCAGGGTGGCAGCAAGCTGGAAAACCCAGGGCCAAACACTCCTGCAGTGTTGCCAGCAAACTGCAGAGATGTCTTCACTGTTACTGGACTGGTTGAAAGTTCTCGCCCTTTTGACACTATTCTCTGTGCCAAGGTCTAATTTTGGCCTTCTCTTAATTCTACCTCTGGCATAGCATACTCTGTAAAAAAAAAAAAAAAAAAAAGAAGAAAGGTGCTTTCATCTATGCAGCCCCCCCCTTTTTTTTTTTGCATAGAGACTGCCCTGGATTGCTTCCCAAAGTCCCACCCTAGAAGGCCACATGAAAAACGCAACGGCGCCAAGTAGCAGCTTTGCTCTAATCGGGTTCTCTCCTGGTTCTGATGCCCCAGACACCATCGGTGACCTCGCTGACGACGGCAGCTTACATGCACTCCGTCCGCTGGGCCCTTTGGCA